AAGAATCGCGTAGAAAATATAAAAATAGTGAATATATGTAGTATATTAATTTTTTTAGAAAAACATGTGAAAAGAAAATTAGAAAGAATAAAGTCTAAATTTTTAATAAATAATGTGAAAATAATTTCTCATCATGACTATTTCTCCTATTTATTAGTCACTACTACATCTCTCTCAATTATGATGTCATATTTACTATAGATACAAAAATTTAAGAAGAGTATGATTAATAAATAATTAAGAATATATTAATAAAGTTAATTATAATATAATATAAATAATTATAAATTAAAATTAAAATAACTAATTAGTTTAGAAAAAATTAAAAAAATATATAAATTATAAAATTTAAAATATAATTAAAATGTAAAATAGTTTTCTAAAAATAGAAAGTGACGTAATATTGAAAAACACAAAAATAGAAAATGTGTCGTTACATGCGGGAGAGTATTACTTTTTTTGTATGGCTTGGACACCCACAATATTTAAGCAAATAAGCAAATTTCAGTTCTTGTCAGTTGTTACACACAAAAATCTATGTATACATATAAACAAGAGTATGTATTTTTATTTTTATTTTACAATTGACGTTTAAATTTTCATTTTATAAATTGGTTTTGTTCACCTTGTAATTTTTTGATGAATTGAATTTTGGTATGTGATACGAGAAATTGTATAAAAAATATAAAATATATTATTTTAAATTGAATAGATCTTTTGTAATAAATATTTAAATTTTTTAATTTTTTTTTCACATTTATACAAAAAAATTGTATTTATTATTATTATTATTTGGAATAACAATTTCAAAATAGACTTGAGTGAGCCATTATGTTTTTATTTGTATTTTTTTTTTTATAATAACGTTGTCAATGAAACTGTTAAATTTTCTTTTTTTTAGCAGGTGTAGCCACTTTTGGTTTTAATTATCCACCTGTAAAAGTCAAATATAAAAGCAATTTTCATTTTCAAGAAGGGAAATCTAATCTACAACACCCCCGGGGTCAAAGATAAATGGGGTGTCAAATGGTCGATTCAAATTTGTTTGCATCAATTATTGTTATGAAAAATATCACAAGATGAAAGTGAAAAACAATATGAAACTAAGATAATTTGATTATTTAGTTCGAGTTCGATCTAAATTGATCGATGCCAACTAAACTCTAGATTTTAAATCTATTATTAGACTCCAGTACAATGCAACAATTATTATATTAAAATATGCATACAAAAACAAATGTTTGTCACAATTTTTATAATATTTAAATTTAGTGCTAGTTGAATATGACAATCTATAAAGTATACTTGGTTTATATTTCAAATACAAATCAATATTATTCAATTATAACTTTGATAATATATATTATTTTTCGTATAAAATATTATATTATATATTATTTAAATTTAAAATTCAAATAAAAAAAATTAATTTTAAATAAAAACCAATAAACAAACTCTATGATAATGTCTTTATAAGAATAGATCATAATAGAATTTGTATGTTTAAAAATTTAGGTAAAAGTGTTCATTATTTATTATTTTTCTGCTTAAATTCGATTTTTTTTTTAAAAAAAAAACTTATTTAAATGGTATTTTTAAGTGGTGTTTGATGAGATAAATAATATCTATACATTTCTATTAATAATTTTAACTTGCAATTAAAACTAATTAATAAAACCATCATTTTGTAGATATAATTATATAATTGAATAATACCTCGAATAGTTATATACTTCATCGTTTAAGTTTAGTTGATGTGTTTGGTTAGTGACATAATATTTAAAATAATAAATTTTAGTTAGTTATTAGTTAATGATGATATTATTTTATTATTATTTATGCGAAAAATATTATCGTAATTTTAATATGAGAATTAATATATATGATAAAAAAATTTAAAATATTTGTTTACATATTTTAAAAATTACATATTAATAAAAAATAAATATAAATAAAAATATTTAAGGATAAGAGAAATGGAAATATATCATTTTTAGTGAATCTTATGTGATGTATACTTTATATGTTATGAAGTTGATTTATGTTTAAATATATTTAGATAATTATAATTTATTAGAAAATAGAAACATATTAATTAATATGGAACAAACCAAGGTGATGTGAGAGATTTGAACCTTGTCATCTCACGATTATAAATTTATTTTCACACAATCAAGTTATTCTTTATGAGACTGAACTTGATTATATTTAATAGGGAAAAAAGTTAATATTGGTCCAAATATAATCAAAATATATCAATTTGGTCAAAATATAAAAAATCATCAATTTTAGTCGCAATATAAATAATTTCAATAATTTTAATTCTAATATAAATAATTTCAATCAATTTTTGTCATACGGTTAACAAACTCACAGAAATTGCTGACATAGACATAACGGTGTTGACAGGACAACTGACCTGGAAAAAACACGGTCATGTACAATTCTACACGACCATGTTGTCATACGGCCGTGTATAGCTAAGTGTATAATTGTACACGATCATGTTTAATTCTACATGACCATAACTTTTCTGTTTTGGTCTAAAACTTTATTTATTTTGTTATATATTTTTTTAAAAAATATATTCTTTGAAATTAAAATAATTTGATATAGTTAAAATAAAAAAATCAATAATAATCTTAATATAATTAAAATCTATCAATTTTTGTTCAAATATAAAAATTTATATGTTATGTTCTTTTGGAAGATTTTGCGTAGAATTTTATTATTCACCAAAATTTTCTCTTACAAACATTCAATTACACAACTATTTTTTATTTTTTATATTATATTAAAAATTAATTTTACATTTTAATACAATTTCAAACAATTTCAACATAACATGTATAATTGTACACGAACGTGTTGTTACAGTCAGCTACCACATTAATCCAGTGTTTTAAATTTAAAATTAATATTTAATATAGTATAAAAAAATTAAAAATAGTTGTGTAATTGGATGTAAAAAAAATTGGTGAATATTAAAATTTTAGGCAAAAGTTTCCAAAGGAACGTATCCGATAATTTTTATATTTAAACTAAAATTGATACATCTTAATTATATTAAGATTACTATTGATTTTTTTCCATTTTCACTATATTAACTATTTTAAATTCAATATATTTTTTCTAAAAAAATAACAAAAAAACAAAATTTTATATCAAAACAGAAAAGTACAAAACCGTGTAAAATTAAAAATGGCCGTGTGACAACATGACCCGTGTGTATTGTACATTAAATTATACATGGCCGTGTAACAACATGACCGTGTAGAATTGTATATGGTCTTGTTGTTTCCAGATCAACTATCACGTCAACTCCGTTACGTCCACGTCAGTAATTTCCGTTTGTCTTTTGACGGTGGAACCAAAATTGATTGAAATTGCCTATATTGAAACTAAAATTAATGAGCTTTTTATATTTGGACTAAAATTAATATATTTTGATATATTGAAACTAAAATTGATCTTTTCCCTATTTATTGTACGAGGAATGGTTATTTTGTTATATCTGGGTTTTTCCATTACGAAAGAAAATGATAACACGAACAAAACAAAGATGCAGTACACAATATGTGACATAAAATTAAATGTTTTTTTTTTTTTTTTTATATTTGTAAGTGTATTGTATATAAATATCTTATATGCGGAAACTAACAGTAACAAATATTATGCGAAACTATATCATATATTGTTAATTTATATGATATATTTATATTATCTTAATTAATATAGATAATATGTTATTTGTGATAATTATTATAGGGTGGCGATTGCTTCACCATGTGTTGTTAATATTATATTGAATTTTAAAATTCAATTACAGTAACAATAATGTCTTTTTATAAGTGTTTACAAATTATAACACTTGTACATATACATGTTTATCTCAATATATTAAATATAATTTATGAAATCATCCATCATCAATTAATTTACATGATTGTATATAATTCAATCATACTAAATTGCTAATAAATTTAATTTATTCAATTAATATTTTTATACTAATTAGTATTTATGTTATACAAAGTATAGTATTTATAATCTCATCTAACATATGTGTAAAATAGTAATATTATTATTATTATTATTATTTCTTAAATACAACAGTTATTAGCTTTTATTGTTGACCTATATATATAAAAAATTTATTAAACAATAATTTTATTGTTGAACTACGATGGATTATATGTAAAACATGTTGAATGAAATAATTCAATTATATATATATTTTATAAAACCCTTAATCAATCATGATAGTTGAATGAAAACAAAAATGTCCCTTTTTTGGCATAATTGAAGAATATAAAACCCTAATTATAGTGCATAGCCAACTATTTATACATATTAAATATACTTAATTTTGTGCCTTTTGCAAAGGACAAATAAAGCAACAACGCCTATTCTTATTCCTCGGGATTGTTTACAAGTTAATTAACTAATGCGTATATTAATTAATTAAAAGATTTTTTTGTTAATTTAAATATAAGAAGTAGTAATAATAATGAAAAATAAAAATAATATAATTATTTACGGTGACAAAACTATTGTTTATTTACAATGACAAAACTATAGTAAGCTTACAGAAAGGCTTATATTTATTTTTATTTTTATTTTTATTTTTTAAAATATAATTGTGATTTCCAGGTATATATAGATACATACATACATACATACATACAGAATGAATTAATTGTTTGGACATTGTTGTTGAGGAATATTGGACATGAAGGAACATGCAAGAACATGGGATACAGGTGGTTTCGACTACATAAATATTAATTACATTATTCAATAATATGTATTTAAAATTTATTTCATTTTATTGCTAACGGGTGATTTTATATGAAATTAATTATGTTAGCGATTGAAAGTTGAAATGTAAAGGAGAATAGGAATGGGAAAATATGGGGCCTTATTTATATTTTGGGCCTTATTTATAAAGCCCATTATAATAAATGGGTGTTCGTGTGACACGTAAGCATTTCAATATAATTATGATTAATCCGTTCATCTGAAGATCAGAAAATCGAATGACGGCCGGAGGAGCGTCGCCGGCGGCCAACGGCCTGGAGCCGTGGATGGACTTGAAAAACAAGGTCGTGATGGTGACAGGTGCGTCGTCTGGCATTGGCAGAGAATTGTGCTTGGACTTAGCTAAATGCGGCTGCAGAATCATAGCCGCCGCCCGGCGCGTCGACCGGTTGCAATCTCTCTGCGAGGAAATTAACAGTAGGTTTGGTTTGTTCAGTTCGAATAAGGAGGGAGGCGGAGCTAGAGCGGTTGCAGTGGCAGTGGAGCTTGACGTGAGCGCGAGTGGCTCAGTTATTGACGCCGCAGTCGCGAAGGCCTGGGGCGCTTTTGGGCGAATCGATGCTCTGATCAACAATGCCGGCATTAGAGGTAGGGAAAACGTGATTCTCCTCTCAACAACGTGTTTATTTGATTCGCTATTTGGTTATGATGTTTGATTGTTATTGTATGAAAAATCCCTAGCTATTAGATGAGATCTGGACATTGGAGCTGCGTGTAGAAAGAAATCCAGTTGCAATTATTAATTGTATGCTAGACGTAATTGTTAATTGCAACAATTGATTTTTCTGGTGTTTACTAAGATCTTTCAATGGATTCTGAGTCAGCCATCGAACTGATTCTGCCAAATAATTTTACATTATAGATCTGGGAATTCAATGGTTAAATCCTTCATAAATTGTTCCTTTTTTTCTTCCCCTCAATTGATATTTCTATGAGCTGAATTTAGGTTGGATAAATTAGAAGAGCATCTGTTGTTGCAGGCATTTCTTGTGGTTTACTTTTTAGAGATGCAGATGTAAGGCTCAACTCTTCCTGTTTGTTTGCTTATAGGTTCTGTACATTTGTTGTTGGATTTATCCGAGGATGAATGGAATGAAGTTACTGGAACCAATCTAACAGGGACGTGGTTGGTATCAAAGAGTGTTTGTACTCGGATGCGTGATGCCCACCAAACGGCCTCTGTGGTCAATATCTCCTCGATTGCAGGTCTTAATCGCGGGCAGCTACCTGGAAGTGTCATTTATAGTGCGTCTAAAGCGGCCATTAACACCATGACTAAGGTAATTTTTCGCAACCTCAAGGATACTTCTTTGAAGATTTCAACTCAGTATCAGCCATTAATTTGTGTTTTTTTCAGTATGGTTATTCAAGAAATAATTCACTAACCTTCTATGACATTCCTGGTATGAAATCTCAGAAGACTTTGAAATAGTAGGACCTGAGTTAAATAATCATCTAAATTATATCAGTTTGCATACCAATTTAAATTAAAGAAAGAGAACAAATACAAAAACTGTGTAGGCTGCAGCAATAGTCTGTAAAACTCTGGTCTTTACTTGCAAATTGTTGGTAGATTATCCAATAAGATCTATCAATGTTGCTAGACAATTCTCGTTTGTTTCTTCGTCTCTGTTGCTATTCTTTTCATCCTTTTTGCGATTTAGAGCATATATTTGGGTTGGAATTCGCCTAAATGGTTTAGCTCTTATTGGCATTAACAATGTACTTATCGAATAACCTCATCTACTGTGTCTCTTCACTTTATATTGTTATTTATATGAATGTAATTGCTGTGATGTAGAGCGAAGATACATCATGGAAGATGTTTCGCCATTAACTTTTCCTTACGTGCAGGTCATGGCCGTGGAATTAGGTCCTTATAACATAAGGGTGAACTCCATTTCTCCCGGAATTTTCAAGTCAGAGTTAACCAAGGGTCTCGTTGATAAGCATTGGTTCAAGACAGTTGGTTTCAAAACAATTCCTTTACAAACGCATGGCACAACTGATCCAGCATTGACATCGCTCGTGAGGTACTTGATCCACGATACATCTGAATATGTCACCGGTAATGTCTTTATAGTCGATGCAGGCGCCACGATTCCTGGTACGCCGATCTTTTCCTCTCTATAGATGCCATTAAGCTCAGAAAAGTTCAACGAACCTAGTTTTTATGAGAAAAAAATAGTATATGTGTTGCAATTTGATTATATATATATATATATGTGTTGCAGTGGAGTTGATTGATGATATGTTTCAACATAATTTATTGCTGTAGAATAGTTGTTTGCAAATGTTTCATTTCATGTTACTGGTAATACGCACACAATAAATAAGAGAAAGTATAAATTAATTGCTTATAATCAATGAATCTATTTTTGGTAAAGAGTTCATTTATATTCTGTTTAATTAACTTTAGCTATTTGCTCTCTTGAATCTAATTGGTTCTATTAATGAATACATATATATATATATATATATATTTAAGACAGAATGTTTAGTAGTATGACTATTATGTGTTTGAAAAAGTAATAAAAGGAAAATCCTAGTAATTGATGATACTTTTGGTAATAATTTATGATTATAAAGATAGAATATTGAAATTTTTAGTTTGTCAAAATGGGAAAATATTACGAGTGGATCAAAAGGGAGAGTGAGAAAATTTGACGCATAGGGAAACATCTTTAATATAAAAATATTAATATTTTGTGTTGTATTTTTATATTTATGGATATTTTTTTAATAGATAGAGTATAATTATTATTCTGTTTTAACTCAAAGTATTATTTTTATTATTTTTGTTTATTTTCATTCAAAAGTATTTTTTTAATATAGTAAAAGTATTTTTATATACAAATATTAAAATATTCTTACTTTTATATAAAGTACAAAAATATCATTATTTTATTTGTATTTTATAAGGAAAAAAATAACAAATTATCTTTACTTATTTTTTTTTGTCAATAAAATACTATTTCTTCTGTCAGTCAAATTTACTCTCATTTTTTTTATTTTTATTTTTAGTCTGTATGTTAAATTTACTTAATTACTAATTTGGGCAAAATCAACAAATAACATTTAACTCTTATTATTCATTTAACATTTATTTACAATAATTTGCACTATTTTTACTACCTTATCTTTCTTTTATTTTCTTTGATTGTAACCAAATTTTAAAAATACTCTTAACTATCATTTTAGTTTTTTCATTTTTTTAATAAAATATTTTTTTTTTTTAATCTTCGTCCCATACACAAAATGTTCTAAATTTTTCAGAGGAGTATTATTTTTTTAACTACTAGTAGAATTAGATTTAAATTTGGTCTTATCTATATATTAGGTTATTTAGATTTGCAAGCTTGTTTTATAGTGCATATATATATACTTTGTTTTCCAATTTCCATAAAATATTTTTACACGATATCAGAGCCCGAGTAACACAACCTACTAACCCAAGTAATGTACTTAGAGGTCTCTCAATTTTGAGATTTTAGCTATAGTTTTAGTTTTCCGGTCTCTCTAAATTATTTTTTGAAACTCTAGCCGCTGCCGCCGCCATTGTTCTCCGGCAATCGCCGCGATCTGGTTGATACGCCAGCACCATTAGATCTGCCTTGTCGTCACCGGCCGACCCCCCCAAAGTTTCTTTGCACATCTGCCGTTCACACGCCGCCGATACAAATCGCAGCGGAAATATCTTTTTTGCCGCCGTCTTCTGGCCATGCGTCCGACTATCTCTGGCTGTCGTTTTTCGGCTGCTACCTCCTGGTTTGATTTTTTACATCGTTGTGTGGTTGATTTGTCTTTGGAGTTGATTTAATTTTGCTATTGTTACCGGTCTTTTGATTTTGATTTTTCGTCCGAGTTCGGCCTTTGATTATTTATCATGGTTCAGTACAAAACACTGTTTCTGACTACGTTGAGAGTCCCGTCGTCTTTCAGGCTCTAGTGACAGATCCGTGTTTCCCGAGCTCCGGTGAGAGTTCCGTTATTTTTCAGTTCCGTATTTTTCGGCATTGGTGAATTTCGTGTTTTTCGGCTTTGGTGAGAGTTCCATCGTTTTTCAGTTCCGTGTTTTTCGACTTTGGTAAGAGTTCCGTATTTTCCAGTTGAGGGTACTGTTTCTAACATGATAGACAATTATGGCTACGTCACTTCGATCTCTCTTTGCAAATTCAAGTTAGTTTATGTTACACCACTTGGTTTTGAATGAAATGTTAGATATTTTAAATATTCAATTTTAGATTGAGTAATTTAGATTTAGATTTTGTTTTATCAATAGATTAAATTTTTTGGATTTGAATTTATTAGACTATGTTTTATGTTGTTTAGACTTTTTATGTTGATAATTTACAATTTTCCAATTTCCAAAAAATATTTTTACATGTGTAATAATAATATTAATTGAGAAAAGTCCCAAAATGAATTTAAATTATTTTTAAATTCAAAATGCACCTTTTTAAAAAAAAAAAAAAAAAAGTTTAGTTTCGATCAATTTAGAGTTTTTTTTTTTCTTAGTTTTTTGTTTATACATTTATATGATTTAATGTTTTATAAGAAAAATAATACCTTTTTCGTCTGCAAAAGTTATGTAATTATTTTTTGGCCGTAGATAAATTTGTGAAAATTCTTTTTTATAATAAATAATTTTATACAATAATAATTTTATTAGTATTATTCTAATAAATAACAACCAATTTGATAGTACTATTTTTTTAATTAATTCTTTCATAAATTTTTGTAATATAATTAAATTTATTTTTTATTTATCCTATTTTAATATTAAAATATCTATTATTTTTTTAGTCTCTGTTTCCATTTAAATTTACATAGTTTTACAGGAGGTAGGAGAACATGACAAATATAAAAGGATTACTAAAATAACAAAATTTTACTTCAAAAAAATTATGTAATTATTTGATTATAGTTTGAAATTGATTTGAAATGCTCTAGTATTAAAATTAAATTTTTGTTTAAATAATATTTTAATATAATTTTTTATAAAAGAAAATAGTATGATTTTACAAAAAATATATAGAATAAATAATGTTAATTTGAATTTAAAATATTAAAAGAATAAAACTCTATTCCGTTATTTTAATCTCCTTCAAATTTATTATTTATTTTTTTAAAAGTAATTGTAATATTTATATAAAGAAATAAAACTTTGGGTTTGTTTCTCAACATATTTTTAATTACACTATTGACTATAAATATTACAAAAAAATATCATATATTAACATAATATATATAATATATGAATTCTATTTATCCATAAAAATTTAAATATTATTTTATAACCGATACGATTCTTTGAACCTATATAAAAAATATATTAATTTAAGAATACAAAAATACATTAATTTAAAAATACAAAAGTGAATACATCCTTTATATTCCAATTATTATTACAATAATAATAGTATTACATATTTTAACTCAAATAAAAATAAAATAATTTGTCTTATCTAAATGTGTATATAAAATACTATTAATATTTTAAACTTTACATATAAAAAAGTAAATAAATAACAATAATTTCTATATAAACTATAATGGGTGTATTTATTTGAGGATTTGTTTGTTTGGTTTTTTTTTTTTATAGATTTTTTACTGACTTATAATTTTCTTTCCTACTATTATAAAATTAAATCTTTTTATAATAGATTATATTTAAAATATTATATAAACAACAATTCATATTAGATTACAGAATTATTTAAATTCAAGAATTTATTGTTCAAAATCTAACATTTAAACAAACACACAAGATATTCATAGTTTTATTTCTTTATACGTGAGATATGAAAAATCAACACTAGCTGAGCATACTCTTGTGTTCTCTTATAAAAGTTTACCAAATTTTTACTATTTATCAATTTTTTTTTCACTATTAAATTAAACATCTATAATTTTTATTTTTTATAATTATATTAAAAATAAATTTTACATTTAAATATCACATCGATACTATTTAAAAGAATTTTACATTCAAAATATTATATCAATACTAATTTATATAACATTATTATACTACTATTCAAATTCAAAATTTGAAATTTATTTTTATAATTGTTTATAGTATTAAATATATAATAAATAAATATTAGTATATTAAAATATAATTAATAATTTTGAGTTTTATTTTTATTAAAATATTACTCCCTTTTCTCTTAAAAGAAATGTCTTATTGAGAGTTGGCATGAGAATTAAGGAATAATAGTATTTAATTGAAAGTGGGTATAAAGTAGAATGTAAATGTCTAAAATCCCCTTGTTTTTTGAAGGATTTTAAAGAGCATGTTAGAGTAATAATTAAGGGTAGTATGGAAAAATATGAATAATTTTGTTATAAAGTGGAGACCATGACTACTAAATAAGGAAACAAAACAATTGTTTTGGGACGGACGAAAATGAAAAAACAAAACAAATCTTTTGGGACGGAGGGAGTATATTTTTATTAAAACATTTAATAATATACTAACAATAACAACATATACTCCCGCTGTCTCATAATAAAATATCCATTTTTTCATTTTAGTCTATCCCATAACAAAGTATCCATTTCTTTTTTTAGTAACTGTACTATCTGCCTAATATTACAAATACTCTTACAACTTACAATATATTACACAAATGCCATTACCTTTATATCACATCATACAAGGTTATTTTAGTCATTTCTTCTTTATTCCTACTACATTATAATATAATACTAATATTTCTAAAACTATATGCAAAAAACAAATAGATATCTAGTTATGGGACGAAGGGAGTACTAAAGTATCATATTTTGGATCTCATTGGTTCGAATTTTTAGTGTACATATTTGAATTTCCAAAAATCTAAAATTTTTAGTGTATTCAGTCCAAATCATTTTGAAATATCCGAGCTAAAATTTAAATTTATGTTTGATTAAGATCCGATTTTCAAATTTTGGATATTTTGCTCACTCTTTATATAAACTACAAATATATGACAAAAATATCAAAATCAATCTTATATAATTTCACTAACTAATAAAATATTAATACAATTTGTTAATTTATTATAAAATCCTGAATAACTCATTGGGACGAAGGGAAAGTATATTAATGGTGGTAAAATGTAAGGGTTTGTTTAGTTTTGATTTGAATTTGAATTTGAATTTAATTATGAATTTAATATTGGTGTTTAGTTAAGGGAAGTATATTTTTATTTGTATTAAAACAGAGACATCATATAATGAGACCACATCAGATAACCGAAGCAGAAGAAAAGAAAATCCAGCATAACAAAATAAAAGCAAATCAATCGGAACTGACAAATTGATGAACTTGTAGAAAAAATTTTGAGAATGATGAAATCACAAAAATCCGGTGACTGGAGCCCCCGCCACGCGCCGCTAACATAAATCAGTATTGGAACACTTCATTAGTGCATCACACTTCCGTTTGCTTTGCTGTGAAATTTCGGTGGCTATTCGGTTTTTGGACGGGAATCCAATGATTATTACAAAAATTATTGTATAGCAAAAATATCAAATAATTATCAAAAAATAAAAACTTAATATTAAAATAATTTATCGAATAAATTGAGTAATCAATAATAATTTATCGAAATAAATTCGATAATTACGTCGAGTCGAGGTAGAACATTTCTTCGTAAAAACGAATATATCTCAGCAGTGCTTCCGGTTCGTGGCGTAACATTCCTAAAGATAAAATGACGTTCGTCTTTGAATTAGGTGACAATCTAATATTACGGAGTTCTGACGAACTAAAATGAGGAAACAAATGTTGTGTTGGAAGACTTAATATTTTAAAAGAATTGACGAATTTGTGACGGAAACTTGTCGTAAACTCCGCCGGATAATATTTCAGGGAGGAGAGGATTAGAGAGAAGAGAACTCTTTCTCTTGGTGTGATTTTGAGAGGTGTGGAGAGGGCCTTTTATAGGCACTCTACCTCGAGTCAAAACCGCCCGGCAGTAAATGTTTGAATCGAAACCACCGTAATTGACGACAATTAAATTTTGGTAATGTTCGGCCATAAACATCAAACATAATTACAGTCATAAATATATTATTTGAATTTTGAATTTCAAATATTAATTTACTTGCATATAATTATAATTTTTTGGCTATACTTTTGTTACACAAAAATATATTTTTTTGGGTTTCTAACAAAATATTTTGTTGTTTCGATTTGACTTCGAAGCATAATAGACTTCGTCAAGTCTAGCATTCACCAAACTCAAGCCCAACTCACAACCATGACTAAGACATTTGAGCCAGAAACAAAATTCATGTTTGTGTACTTGTGTCATTATTTGGTCCGAGCAGGTGACATGCATGTCTGTGGCTTACCAGCATTCATATGCCTAACCACACCATCAATAACCATAATACAATCCACATGAATTTTAACTCACCGAACAATTGATTCCGAAAACTATAAATTTAATTTAATATTCAATTTCATCGATTATATAATTAATCGATTTTTCAACAATGATATGGATAGTTCGGTGATGAACGGAAATGTGAGAAACGATGGAACAACGGTGTTGATTTTTGCAGGGAGAAATTATGGTTCTAAACTAGCAACTACGTACACGATTTCAAAATTAGGAGACCTTCAGGTACATTTTAAGTTCAACGTAGTCGGAGAAATATAAGCTGTGATTATTTCAAGAGGAAAATAAGTTATGATACCATATTAAAATAATCAGATAATTGGATAAAATCCCTGCCCCTTATTTTATTGGGATTCAGTCCTTATTTTAAACTATATGTATTTGCATTCCCATTTTTTACCTGTATCTTTATATCTAACTCCCTCCCAACGCTTAACCCACTTTTTTTTGCTTTTGGTCGGTATTTTTTTGCACAGTTTTCCATTTTTTTGTGTAATTTTCTGATTTCTCCCGCGATTGATTTCATCACCCTTTTCTTCACTTTGGTGGACAAATGTGTTGCAAGTATCGTCTCAAGAGATTTTTTCCTATGTTCCCATTAGATTCCTAATGAGTAACATTGCATCTCTCTTCCTCACGCTCCTTCAAGCGGGTATATAATATTCTTTTTTTTTTTCCGAAACGAAATGTTATGCCTTTAAGTATAAAAATTTAT